ATATTTGGTGTTAACCAAAGGTGCGACAAGATTGAAAGTGACTTGTGTAAAGCTATATCATTATTTCTGTATTATTCTGGCAATCGGCTTACAAGTATCATTGATACATGCAATCCTAAACCATCTTAACGATTTTACAGCTACTTCTTGAACTACTCACAGCATTGGAAATTTCATCTTTCACAGAATTAATAAACATCGTATACAAGTAATTACTGTCTATATGCATTTAACATCGAAAAACTCAAATGCAAAATAATAAAAGTAATAAGAAGTAATTATACTTCTACAATTTTTTGTATTAATAATATATACAATTATTTTCAATATATCATTTTTAAAATAATATATTTTGCTAAATTGATGAAGCCACATAAAAATGTGATTATTCGACGATACATTGATAAATGCATCATATACTATGGTATATTTCTGTTAACTGCCTATTTGATTAAATAGGGGAGTAATTATTGTAATATCTATCATATAAATTGAACTTACAATCATTTCCAGCATCAGCCAAATATCCATTTTCTAAAATTATCAAATTAATTCCAGAATATTGTTGCGATAAATAATTTAGAAGCGCGTTGATCTCGCAGTAAGATAAAACCAAGCTTTTTAGCAAGACGGATTACAATCCAAGATAATTTTATTTAATATTACAAGATTTCGCTCCCGTACTCGATAATAGAAAAATAATTGCTTAAACACATACACATACATATACACGCACACGCGCGTGTCTCCCGATTATGCCGGCCGATGCAAAACTACTGAAAATGTCACAGGCGTGACGGGCCTCGGTGGATGGATGTTACTGGATCGGGTTAAGTGGCTTTGGAGAAAGCCAGCTTACCTCCGCCTTTTCCTCATGAAATCACGAAACCGTCGGCGAAATACCTCTATGCGGTATGTACCCATCGGCAAATCATCACGTCGGCCTTCACCCGCCGGTCGCGTCGCGTCGTATCGCGTCGTCGCCGTCGATGCAAATCGACGAGGAATAATAACGTCGCACGGTCGTAAGTCGAGAGATTTTATTCCCCTAATCGGGACAACGCGGATAGGGATCCGAGACCCGCGGATTTACGTTCGCGGGTATTTCGACTCTCGCGAACGCGTTCTTATCCTGAGACGTATGGACGTGAAAGTTGTATTTGAGGCTGCCGAGAGTCGTTGCTTGATAGCAACGCGCGAAGGCTTCTCTCGATGACCGGAACATATACAGCGCGTAGGTATTTCTATTACGGTATTATAAAGATATACGTTTGAACGGTTAACTCTCGAATATTAAAGTGGAGCGTCCAAGAGATTCAACACATTAATTTTAATTATTTCAAAATAATAATACAAATGTTTATAAAATTTTAGCAGGGATGACATTGATTCTTTTCATCAAATATTATTGTGATTCTTTAATTGTTATATGATCTCTATTTTAATTGAGATTTTATTTATATAGAAATTTTTAAATTTAACATATTACAATATATGTCCTATCCCAGATAGAGTACAGACAGGTACCACCGTATTTCTTGTCAAAAAAATAAGCACCTTTCTTCTTTGGCAAAATTTCTGTATAAATGTAACATTTTCGAGATATATCATTTTTCTAATATAGTGCGTTTACTATTTTTTAATTGTTTATATAAAAGTTTTGAAAATTCTGTTATAATTAAGTTTAATATTTGCATCTTTGTAATAAAATATTTTAGAGGAAATTTTATTTTTAAATTGAATAAAACATAATTTTCCCTTATGGCAGTGAAATGTGCTTTCGTGGTTGTGATGTAAACAAAGTAGACATTATTTATTTATTTTTTTATTTTTTTATTTTCTCATTATATTGTTCAACCACCTTAAAATATTCATGCAAAAAATATTTTAACACGCTAGCTTTAGAGAAAAATCATATGTGTTGAGAGCGAAAAATAAGATACTTCGAAAACGATATATTTCGGAAATTTTGCAAAAAAAAGATGCTTATTTTTTGACAATACAATAGTATACCAGTCTGTATCTTACCTATAAAATCTATCTATTAAATATTCATATATAGAACACATCCTATATATGAATATATTTTATATATACATTGATTTTATTAAAATATGTATATGTACATAGATTTATATAGTTTTAGGATATAAATTGCATTCAGTATTTTTAGCGAGACTACATTAAATACAATTTTCTAGATATCTCTGATACCGCAATGGGAAGAGAAACCTAGAAAAAAAAAATGTAAATTGATTGTTGCAACAAAAATGAACCGTATGGAATAAAATAGCAGAAACGCTAAAGTGCGACAATGAAGTGCGCTGTCACGAGTTTCCCTAAGGACTCATAAGAAATCACAAATTAAAAGAAACTTCGCTAATCGCGCAATGATGTTATTTATTCTTGAAAGTACGTGTGTTTTCTCAATGGAGGATAATTATAAGATTATATCTTATCATTGCTTGCCACATCGCTCTCAATTTCTCATCAACGCACAGCTGAAAGAGTCGCGGTTTAAGCCTGATTCGATGACCTGCATATTTCGAGAAAAATTTCGCCAGGAAACGTAACCATTCCACGTAACACCTTTCTCGATATTTATCTATACGCTTATTGTGTGTAGTATCACTGTGCACATAAACATATCTCTCTTTCATAAAAATCATATAAAATTCAATAAAAAAATTATTGAAAGCGTATTTTTGTTACTATATTCAACAGAAAAACACTAGAGATTTATATATTTTTTTATAGATGAATGATTAAAGGAAATTAACATATCTAGAAAAACAGGTTGGTGCGATCTCGTGAATAACGAAGGACATCGTAAATTATTGCTAAATTCTAAATACGCTGTAAATGCTCAAAAATAAACAAGAAATGCATCATTAAATATGCAAATATGCAGAAGTATGCTTTCTAAAGATTATAGTATATATATAGATATATATACATATTTTGGGGGGGGGGAGGGGGCAAATTTACATTTCGTTAGTTTGCTTGCTTATCAGAGAAAAATAAATATTTCTGATCGGTAATTTTTCTCATGATTTTAGCCGCGTGTAATAAACTAGCGTGACCAATTCGTTGTGTAAAAATAGTATACGTGAAGGTTGCGAGAATCGGTAGATTTGCGTTTCTGGTGTTGCACCGATGGAACCAGCAGGATAGCGGGTACCTGGGAGCACGAAGTGCGTCGGCGCCACGACGTCGTTGCGCCGCTGTGCCGTGATCGATCAACGGATTTTCTTCAGGATCAGCGTGACCTGGCGTAGTCGTGTCGCAGGGTCACGGTCTGACCTTGGTAATTCCCGATGACGTCGCGGAAATTTGACGACCTAGTACACGCGCACTATGACGCTCGACGACTCGATGACGTTTCTGACGCGACGGTCACGTGCACAGTTTCCGATTCCTCCGAAAAGACAGCATTACGTGCTACCGATTTGTCGTGAGCTTCAAGAAGCGTTACGCTTTAAAGACAAATCTTCGATGCGGGTTAAAATCGCTAGGAGTGTCTCGTGACACTTGGTGATGAACAGGATAAGGACTTTACGTGGCTTTTTTTATTTTTATTTTTTTTTTCCTCATAAAGAAAAGATACGGAAAAGGAGAGAAGCGAAGAGAAGAAATGTGATTTATAGAGATAGTGATACGAATGAAGAAGAGAAAAAAGAGGGACGAGGTAGCGAATGAAACTTATCATACGTTTGCGCAAATCCGCCGCGAGCATCTGCGAAGAAAAACGAACGCGCGTGTCACGTGAGAGGGCACGTGCAATCCTGACCTAGTTTTCTAGCCGTGTCCTGGGTCATGACCATCGATTGTTTCCCCTCTCTGGTCATGGCGTCGCGACCCAAATGCTTCGGATCCTTCCCTGGGATTTAGGCGCTGTAACGATCGCTGGGGATTTATGGCGTTGCAAGGTGTCGCGCGCGCGATATAGCTCTACCGCTCTAAGAAAATAGCTCCTCATAAAGAAAAGATACGGAAAAGGAGAGAAGCGAAGAGAAGAAATGTGATTTATAGAGATAGTGATACGAATGAAGAAGAGAAAAAAGAGGGACGAGGTAGCGAATGAAACTTATCATACGTTTGCGCAAATCCGCCGCGAGCATCTGCGAAGAAAAACGAACGCGCGTGTCACGTGAGAGGGCACGTGCAATCCTGACCTAGTTTTCTAGCCGTGTCCTGGGTCATGACCATCGATTGTTTCCCCTCTCTGGTCATGGCGTCGCGACCCAAATGCTTCGGATCCTTCCCTGGGATTTAGGCGCTGTAACGATCGCTGGGGATTTATGGCGTTGCAAGGTGTCGCGCGCGCGATATAGCTCTACCGCTCTAAGAAAATAGCCACCTCTCTCTGTCTCTGTTTTTCCTAGCACGGTAATTTATATCGCAGCTGGGATCTAGTCGGCTCGGTTACAGGTGTCTCTAACCGGCGCGTATGAAGCGGTTTAATTGGGATTTATGTCGGCACTGTTGTCATTCCGGATATTACTCCGATAGTCGCTAGAGACTCGCATGCTTCTTAGAACTATCTTCCGTTGAGAAACTTCTCATTCGAATTTACGTGCGAACCGCAAAACCTGAACCGTAATTTGAATAATCAAGCAAGGAGAAACACGAGGAAAGGAGTATCTACCGACGTGTTTTCCAAAATTATACCAGACATTATATTGCGCTTTTAATTTAGAAAAATTGCCATCCGCGCGGAGATTAATATCTCAAAATTTGCAATTTAAAGATTCAATTATCTCAAATTGCACTTTAAATAAAAATTTAAAATTATTAAAAGATGTGTTTTTCTGTAACACAATAATGTCATAATTTTTTTATTCTTCCGATGAAAGATTTTAGAAAAAAACATTTATTATATAGTTTTTTTTTTGTAAGACACTTATATATTACTAATTTTAAAAATCAAACGTATGATGTGATATCACGTTCATAAAAAAAAAAAAAAAAAAAAAAATTAAGTATATATAGCTTCGAGAAGCAGATAAATAGAGAGATAAATTTGAATATATATGCTTCATTAAAGCGTTTACTATAACATAATATCATTCATCAGCACATAATGTGCTAGCTGATGTATAATAATTTATTTAGCATAATAGTAGGTATATATGAATCTATTACTGTCTTCAAACTCCAACATCGCCTACGGTCTTATCGTGTAAATTATCATGAGGCGAAAGTTAATAATAATGCAGCAGCTTGTATTCTCTATTTCATTATATTATTGTTGCGCTCGCGTATATATCATTGTATACGACGCGATCGAAGGAAATATCGAGTTTCAGCGATAATAAACATAACGTCGTGTGTTGCTTTCTACATTTCTTTTCGCTTCTATAAATTACATTTATACACAGAGCAACTTTAACCCACTTACCGAAAGTCACGATCACGGCCAATGCTTGTGTGCTCGATCTTGCAGCATGCGTCATGTTCTCGAGAGAAAAGAATCGTCCACATCACAGAGTCGGAGAGAATTGTCCGATAATTTATGGAGTTTCACTCGCCGACAGATCAGCTGTAACAGATTACGTTAATAATTCGTCTTTTGTATATATCTTTGACGCATAGTATTCAATACCGGATGCGTTTGACAAAACTTAGATAATGTGATTGAGCTAATTAATGCATGTATCTTTATCAATACACGAGAGTATGTACACGAGCAAAGGAACGCGAGATAGTGCGAGATATTTTTTTTCGCATGTCTCTAACACGCATAAAACGCGCGGTAACGAGGAGCTACGTATGTGTGTGGCGCGCGCGTGTTACTTGCAAGTAAATGAGATTTCATTCAGTGGTCGACGATAATACGCGCCGAAAGATACAGGTCCTGACCTACTTCGAACCGGTCACGTTCAAGGATTGAACTTTACATACTCTTAAAAGAGACATATATTCATTTTAAAGCGGAAGTTGATTTCGATGATAATGACTATTCGGATGTCTCGCGTATCTGATGGTCTTGGAGATTATTTCCAAGTAAATGCGAAGAGAGACGTTAGATGAGATGTCATCTCTCTGGAATTCTCCCAGCCAAAAGTTACCGGGTAAGTCTAAAGTACCGTACGAATCTAATAGTGTTTTCAAGTGAAGCAAGTTTGATCGCTCTGAGAGCGATTAACGACGTCATAAATACCATCTTGTGGGTTACTAGGGATACTTATTTATATTAGTCAAATTCGAAACTTATTTTCGGTCGAACATATGTTCATGAAAAATTGGGTTTAATCGCTTTCAGAGCAATCAAACTTTGCTTCACTCGAAAACTCTATAATACAACTCAGAACACACTGTAAAATTATAAATTTCTATTCTCAGAATCGTGTTGACACCGAAAAAAATGACGACCGTTCAAGCGTTATGTTTTCTATGCAAAATATTGTAATCGGTATGAAAATTGAATTGACCGAGTTATTAGTTATATAGTTATTATTCTCGATTAATTTTAATTGCAAACAACGCTTACATACATTAAATAAAGTCAATATATAGTTGACTGATTTTTTCCAATATTAAATATATTTAAATATTTATAAACAAATATGGAAAAAATGACACAACTTGGTTAGGTTGTTTACTTCAATCAGTGCAGTTTGTTCGGCATATATAATACAAAAACTTCGTGTCATGCATATATAAATAAATTGCAGAACTCTTCCTCTTTTTTATTTTATCGCAAAACCTAGTCAGACTCGCACTATTTTTATAAAATATTATTTTTTATTAAAAATTAATAATAAAACTTAAACGTTACATACGTTGCATACAATATATTAACATAAAAATACACGAGAAACCGATCATTATATAATCAGATTTCATTTTCTAATTTTCCGCTTTTCAGATTCCAGATTTGCAAATTATATAAAGTTTGATATCATTTAGCATTGATAAAAAAATAAGTTTTGTACAGGCTTGGCAACAATATAGAGAAATTAGGTTTCGCGATATTATTTGAATGCATGACCGAGCATTAATACAAAACAGTACCTGAAGTGAAAGAGCTATGAGTACCGAACCGTTATCAATTACGCATTCCTACGTTGCAGGACTGCGTTTAAAAGAGCCACATATGGATTCTTCGAGACTCATCATAATTTCGCCATGATTACACGGGAAGAGCAATAAATAGTTCCGCAGTTTCACCATTTCGTATGAATTACTGGATACAATCGTCAATTATTGATGCACGTCCTCGATGACGGCACTCGTTGCCGTGGAATTATACTTCTTATACGGAGACCTAATCAAACTCTATTAACAGCCAACTACCATTATCATTGTCTGGTATCAGAACAATAATATTGATAACGACATTCATTATGCTAAAGATGAAGTACTTGTCGAGGGCATGACTAAATATTCATGAATATTAACTTTACAACGATATACACTATTTAAACATCATTGAAAACGACCTAGATATTAATATAGTTTAGACTGCTATAACACGAATAAACATCTATTTTATAAAAAATGTATGTCATTAATAACTATTAATTTGTATTGATAGAAGATATATCTCTTGAAATATTTTATATCCTCTAAAACTTTTAAGTGGTAGCAAAAAATATTCAAATAATTATTAATTTATTTTAGTAACTTTACTGCATAAATTATCATTTTTAATATTATATAAATATTATAATATATAATATCGTGTACGAATAGATACAATTTAAATCGTTCAAACTTTAAGATGATTAATCATCGATGTAGACACGATGATCTGATTCCAAAAGGAAGTGAAATTCGGTTACAACGCTTTAATTAAAATTCCTGTTAGGGAATCGTCATTCGCGAAAGCAATGATGTACCTTGTCGAACATTTCGTTTCGCTCCGATTACACAAATAGAATTACGAATAACCTGTTTTCATTGTGGGCGGAATATATTAATGAACAGTAGGACAAACGTGAATGTTATACAATTTAAGGTTTAATATAGCTGTAAGACTTGAATCAACGCTCAACTATAAGTGATAGTAAATATAATCCTCTTGCAAAGACTTTGTAAGTTTGCACTGCACAACAAATATAATACCATTAGAAGTATAGGGGAGAAAAAAGAGAGAGAAAAAGAGATCTGTAAAGGTTACATAGTATTTGTTTTTCTTTAAATCTACCAATGGATAAATGTCCAACAAAATAAAATGTAGCGTATGTGCAAATATATGTAAATTTACTGATGATCTCATTAGATTATGCAGTCAGTTTTGCGCGTTGCACGCTCGTGCTAAAAGCTCGAAAGTATAATCGGCAACAGACGATATTGCAATTTCCACGTGTAGCTCGCAATGTTATTATCATAATAATGAAGATTTACGCCAGCTTTTTCTAATTTTGCGACACGTGATAAAAGTCAAAGCTACTCTCCGGCTAATTGTAAAGTTACATTTTCATTGCGAATTCGCGAGATATTTTCTCAAAAATAAAAAAAGATGAGAAATTTCCAATTACGCGCGCAGGATAATTAATCTCCCAATTGATTTTATGGCAATGCGTTGCATATACATTTACGATTTTCATCCGATAATCGGTGTTGCATTAATGAATATGCATCATTATCGGTAATGAGATAATGTACATTAGGTGGACAGACCTTTATATATGAAACAGACGCGCGTTTTACGGAACTTGTATTTATCTCGTAATACAACTCGTTACACACGGCTCTATTGTAATTATCTTGTATCTAAAAGTAGGAACATTTAATGTTCAGTGGGGGAAACTACAGACGTTGAAAATTGAACGTTTTTTATTAGCCACTCTAATGAGATTTCTGCGGGCAATAAAAAAAGAAGCTGTATTAAATACCGAGAGTTTACGTGTAAAAAGTTCAAAGATCAACTGTGTGTGTGTTGCACTTTAAAGATGTAAACAACTTCTTTTCTCTTTGCGAAAAGTTTAGAACGATAACAATAAACTTTAACAATATCCGGTTTTTATAAGTTGTTAAAACTAAGTAAAAATGAAATATTTAATTTTTAAATGTAAATATATGTATTTTACTTTTACATTTTAATAAAGTAATGTATTTTTCTTTTAATTATAATCAACCATTTAGATAATGCGGATGTTATTTAACTGCTTGCTCGAAAGTGTGTGCGCTGGTAACATTGTAATCCGCCAGAAAAATTGCGCTTACATCACGGCTCGCTTCTCCGCTCTATATCTTCTTAATAAGGAAAACTTATTAATTCCCGTGAGAGTTACGACAGAGAGACGAAGCGCCATGGAATGTTTTTTTTAATATCATAAAGGAAACTCGTTTATCTCTTTCAAATTAAAGGTAATACGTACTATTATGCCTCTTTTCTAATTAGAATACATAAAGTCCCTCTTGCCAACATGATTATATAGTAGTATCAAATGTTATTGCAAAGAAGTTGTCGTTTTATAAAATGGATTTAAAAAAAGATGAATAAATAGAACGAGACGCGGAATACTTAATACAATCGATATTTTGACAATTTTTATTTCATTAAAATATTAATTTAAATCAGAACAAATGTCATGACTTGAATTTTAACTGTGTGACGCGCATGAGAAATATATTTTCCGAAAAAAATTCCAGACATAAAATTTATTTAATCGTTTCCACGAGTAAGCGCATTTAATTGGCAATAGTTGGGAGGATAAATTTTCACTCTCCAAATCAAATCTATAATTAATTCTTTCAGTAATACTTGATAAAATTTTTTTTTTTAAATAGAATCGACTTGACGTCAATTCGGATCGTTCAATAATTGTATTTCGATTTGCTGCTTTCATTATTTAAAGCTAATTTTTAATAACCAGCAGCAATTGTTACCACAACATAAAATGCAGCGGCAGATAATCTATGCAATCTTATCGTGATTTTATCAGCTGACTATATGCTCTCGTCGTATTTATATTCGAGCGATTCTCATCAGGCGATTTCATCAAAGGCTCTTTCTTTCCTCGGGATGGATACCGATGAGGAGAGATGGATCGCATCTCATTTTCACGATCGCGAGGCGTTTCCTGAATGGGCAGACAGAACCTGGAGCGGCCAAGACCGCTGGATGAGTAGGACAGTGTGTCGCCGTCCTGCACGTTGGGCCCCGTTCTTCTCCACGTGACCTGGCTACTGACCCACTTTGGTTTCTCCTGATTCCCTCTCTTTCTCCCCGACGGGGTTCTCCTCTCAGTCCCCTTCACCCCGTTCCACCTGTCCCCTCGACGGCCCCTGTCCACCACCGGAGCGGTTATCCCTTCCTCCTGTTCGACCGGGCTTCCGTCAAACGCGGCATTGCCTCCACCATAAACGACCTCCACCATCGAACCGGCCACCACCACCGATCCTCGTCGAAGGCGCCGCTTATGACTTAGCCATGCGACTCCAGCAGCACATGCCGTGGCACGACCACTAGACAGATACCATCCCGTTGGCTGGCCGGATGGACGATCGTGCGGTACAAATCGGTGCGAGCGCGTAAAAGTCACAGAGAGGAGATCTCCAGATTAGGTGATCGGTTTCGACGACGAGCCGCGCGACGATCAAGTCCTGGTATCGTCGGTATGATTGACGGTCGACGATAGTGCAACGAACGCGCACGCGATAAGGGAAGCTCGATAATCGCGAGATCGGTATCGGTTCGTAATTCGATAATTTGCGGGCATAGCGCATGATTCGACGCATGCCGACAACGGGTTGACCGGCGACGAGAGAGAGCAAGTTCAGTGAAGAAGTGCGGACGAGGATCAGTGATCTCGAGAAAGGAAGGCCCCGCGGAAGGGACGATCTAATTGACCGACACGACAAGGGCAAGGTCACGTTTCCTCTCTCGCGGAAGGAAGCAGACCGGAAGAGCGTCGTCTGCCGGAATTAAAACGACGTTATGAGACGCGGTTAACGGGCCCTCTCGACGTTGCACCTAAAGGTTAATGCGCTGCACGGTAAGTGGCTCGGCCCTTAGGGGTTGTTTGATCGATGATGCGACTGTGGAATGGGCGTGAGGTAATTTCCCTCCTGTGCCGACACGGGGAATCGCCCGAGTTGCTCCGTCTTTATGATGTATTACTTTTCTGACCCAGAAACTTTTACGTGCACCTTTGCATTTAGCGAGATGTAAATTACAAAAATGAATAATTTATCCTAACTGAGCACCGTATATAAGTAATCAGGCAGGAATAAACAATTCAAATAGAAAAAGAATATTCAATATATATGTATGTGTATCTGTGTTAAAAGATGTAAAGATATTCTAAATTATTTTTAAAAATGGAGTAAATAAATTGCTTATTATTTATAGATAAAATATAAATATCTAATAAATATGAAATCTCTCGGTAAAATAATTCACGATATGATTTATGTTTTCGTGTGTAACATGTTTTAATTTTGAATGTTTTTAAATCACACACACAATTTTAATTATATAAATATGTATCGTGTATCTCCTCTAGAGATGTACAAGATATTTTTTTGAGACGTCTTCTATCTAATTACAACGGAATTTTAATTGCATCATTTACGTGTCGTTAGTATAAAATTCAGAAAATAAATTTTTGATGGAAGTTGAATATGGTAGAAATCTTTTAATGATGCTTAAATATGCTCTTTTAATAAATTGAGTCATTTTTTAAGAATTTAAACAAACATTTATTAAAGATTTAATTTTATTAAAAATATAGAGAATTATAACCGATATTTTATGCAATCTTATAGTTTGAATTCTTAAACAAAAATTAATTAATCCGTATCTATTTAGAATTCAAATACGATAAATGTGCCATAGCAAAATTGCTCATACTCTTCAGGTAAAGTTAATTAAAATATTACTGACAAAAAAACAGTCTGTATAAAAAACCGTGATTCTCTATTCATGTCATCGGTTCGCCGTCGCAGATTCATTTTATTCTCGTGGGAGAAAGTGCAACACAAAGTCAACGGCGAGATTCAATATCGGCAAACAGAACGCGCGCGCTTTGAAAGATCAGACTATCTATCGGAACCAAGACGTGATCGAAAATCGGCATAATCGGCGCGGGCAATAATCCGATCGTGAAGACAGCTGACATTTTAAAATAAAGCATTCCGATATACGTGAAGAACGATTGTACCGTGGCATTTCAACTTCTCTTTTCCTCTGTTCCTCGGCTCGCGCGTGTCTTTCGCCTCCTGGTATTTTGCGTCGTTGAACGTGCGCGACTTGACGTGACGAGTTAAACGCCGAAAGTCACAGGCAGATCTCCGACGCAGATCAAATCGATGACATAAGTAACAGGTATCGTCGACCTGACTCGTTGCACGGACCTGCCCTCGTTCGCCGGCAGACGAGATGCGTGGCCGAGACGCACCGACCGTGAAGCCGTACACCTTGAGCCACGAGAAATCAGCATCACGCGAATTAACGTGCAAGCAGCAACCGTCACGCACGTAACTGGCGAATCTTAAATACAGTGTGTGCCGTATATAACACAGTTATGTTTTATAGAAAAATAAAATTATCGAGCTGATGGGAAAGTAGTGTAAAGAATATGTGTGTGCGTGTGCGTTGCTATTTTTTTGCACTAGTTCCTACTTCTCAAGATCTATCATCTTCTTGTTACATACTTTTTCTTTGTATATAGATATTTTTAAGAATCTTTAAAAATATTGAAAGATTGAAAAATCGTAGAGAAAAGTGAACGAAGAATTTTAAAGAAAATAATAAGTGGACATGTGAGATATTTTCACTTTTTGACGCTTCCGTGTAATTCCGCTACTGTCTGGCGAGAAACTCAACAGGCGAAAGATTTCTCGCGTTGACCCCTAACAACTCCTAACGCATACATCCTTCACGCACGTGCACACCTCCGATGTACTAAGTCAGGTATGTGGCGGCGGGTCGTAACGGTTGTCGACGCTTCGACAGTTCGTTGTCGCTCTTTCCAATCATGTAGGCTCATTTGTGCATTTAACACTTTTACGTGACGCTTTTTATCGATTCAACCAAGAGGAAAAAATTCGCACGCGCAACACGTGGCGTTTTTTAAGATTAATTTCAACGCGATCAGAAATTCTTTGGCAGATTTTACAATGGAAAAGATAAAGTACTACGATATTACATCATATGAATCACATTTACAATATATTCTCTTTTAGCGTTTTTATTCCAAATATCTCAAAACTTTTCTTTTATCTTTCTGTTAATTTTAAAATTATCTATCATATCAAATTAATATCGCGTATATACATATATGAAAAGAGAAAAGGAGGATCGCGCCGATAAACCGTAAACGATTATTATATGATCTTAAATGATCTTTCGTGCAATCGATATTAGAACATTAACAAGGTTGACGTATAAATGTCACTTTCGATGTTTCGTACGAGGTTATATGATCCTGAGCCTTTCGTATTGAACCGAGCGCAAGAGGAATAGATCAATTTTGCACGAACAATCGCGCTAAAAATATGTATCTTTAAGCATTCGAGTGAAAGCAGAAACCGTCTGCAATCGCATCCTCATCCCAAGTCTAATTTCGCGCGAAAAATCTCTTCTCGCGAACTTCTGTGTTCCATTCGAACAGCACGGATTTCCTACTTTCTCGGATTATTTCGCTAATCACCGTTGACTCGATAAATAATCGGCGTTCATGCGAAGAGAAAATAGAGGCCAAAGACGTTCCGACCTATTGGATTAATTCTAATCGCGCTTGTCCGCGAGAAATGAATCGCGGAAACGAGGTTGAGAGAAAAAAAAAATCATGCGAAAATTTCTTCTTAGATCTCGTATAAATAAATATATATACATAAAAAAGATTTCTATTATTAAAAGACCTGAATTTGAGATATATATAAACATATGTGATTGTCAGTCTCTGGCGTGAGATTTTAAATTGACACTTGAATATACATTTTGATGTCATCAATCATCTATATGCTCGTATGATCGATCGCCATTAGCAGCGTCAATCGTTGAGGATCTTCGCGAGGATCCGCGACAGATTGTCGAGGACAAGGAAGCTACTGTCGAGCGCGAGGCAATTGGGTCACCCAGATCCAATAATCAAGACACGTCGAGCTTTCTCCGAGGTCCAGCATATGTGTATACATAATATAATGCATGCACGCACACGCATCGAGCTACCGTGCACCCGACATTGACGGACGGCCAATGAACGCGGAAGAATCTTCGATTCCTTTGACCTCGCTCGGGGTCGAGGTTGCCGCAGGATCTTTCCTGGGGCCGAGCGTGGGATCTCGCTGCCTTTTTCTCGCAAACATTTTTCCGGCTCGCTGAGAGAGAAAAAGAGAGAATTCCGCCGTATGCAGCTTCTTCGCCGACGGTAAAGCACGCCGAGAGACAACTCGAGTTTGCCACAAGTTTGATCACAACGGCTGATAGTCCGGAAAGTAACGTTCGCGAGAACGTAACGTCGTTTTCGCACTTGGCAATGATCAATAAGCATAGAAATGAAAATGCGAAGCGACAATCTTAGACGAGTAAAAAAAAATGACGTACAATTTTAACAATATATTTTACAATATAAAAAAAGAAAGACAGTGTTGAAAATAAATACGATGAATTTTCGCGCCGATCGATAATAAATGACGACAGCAAACGGAAAAACATTACGCGAAAACGGAACACTTGCAAGGAAAGTGACTTCACGGCCGTGCTTAGGGCGAACGAAAGGATTGCATCTCTGTTAACAGTGTTAACGTGTCGGTGTGTAACACACATTCTCACGACGTAATCCGTGTAATGCGTGTGCAACTATTACGCGACACAACGGCGTTATCGTGATTCCGTCGACCCTGAATCAAGGTAACTGTGCATAATGAAGCGGTGCACGTTAATGCTGTACTTAAATAGAGTGATTCATGGTTATGAATTATATTAATAGGTTGTAGAAACATTGTTTATATGTAATTTATGATTATTTTGCGTTATAAATTCTTGGCATACAAAAGTAAATTAGAATATATATTTATCATTCTCTTTCTCTCTAGAATTTCTACTTCTATTCTTTTAATTTATCGTAAAATCATCGTCATAATATGTTTTTTAATTATTAATTTGGTTAATCTGTTTCTCGAAACATATATTTTAAATTCCAAGCGGCGTATTATTTAAAATGCGAATGCATAATATAATTCCGGTACATTTAATTTAATTAACATAATATCCATGCGCGTAATAATATTAGCATAATTATGGTACATTTAATCGACATTATATAAATGTGCCGAACGCTTCGTAGTTTTAGGTTAACAAGCAAGAGACAATGGAACAACAGTTTATTTTAACGGATCGCATTAAAAATCAGAGCGGCACAAACGGACCATTTATATCAAAATCATTATCATAGCTTATGTCAAAGCGATCATTCGACAATCAAGCCGTATTTAATTCCTGCAACTATACCGCAGCCGTCTCTCTTTCTCTCTCTCTCTCTCTCTCTCATTGTAACTTATTTCTACAACCGATCTAAAAAATAATTAATTTTAATATCGCGCTCAAGTTTATGTCTTCGCGTTCCTAAAGACCGAGGTTATTATTTTTAAAATTTTGCAACAAATAAAATTTCAGAATTTTATAATCCATCAGACACTTGGATAATTGGCGATAATCCGTATGCTACATCATACAGTGAGCTTTAACTAACAAGGCGAATTGGTAAACTGGGTTACCAGTGCCTTGGTGAACCTGTGCGTTAAAGAGCGACCAGCTCGCCCGCCGTTCATTCTCCTCGTCTCGTTCTCATCAAGGCCTCCCCGCCGAAGATATCCCGGCGCGCGACGTTTACCTTCGGGTTCCACCGATATCTCGGCCCCGTTCCTCCGACTCGCCTTCGCGACTATCATACATACGTATGGGGCCCATGTGACTGACTATAACGGGATTCCGCGGGGTACACGCATGCACAGCCAGCTTGATGTCCAGTGCGCGCGACGCGCGTGTGAGCGTGAACCTTCCTCCGAGGTAGAAGACATATGTACATAGGTCCAGGGCAATGTTCCTCCTTATTTTGCACGACTCGCGTGTGAAAGGTGCGTGCAACAGTGTTTCGTGGAATTTTCGAGGAATTTTCGATGGTAGACCTTCGGTAAAAGCGAGGAAGCGAAAGATGCATTCCTCCTTCCGCAGTGTTCGACCATACTGTTTATTTCTGTTTCTCTCTCCTTCTTTCTCTTTTAATCTTTTATTATTTCCGGATTAAATTAACTACGGAACTGTATTTTTATCAATTATTATCACACACGCGGGAAACCTTTTTTGACCTTTCGTTTTTTGCAAAAATTATTAATAGAATTACTCTCCTGGTTAAATTTACTATTGCCGTTTTTTTTCTTCATGTGTAAGCGTATACCTACGCAAATACTTATAAAAGCATCAATCCATATTGTAGAATATTGTTTAATTAATGATATATTCATCCATTATAACCATTAAATTATCAGCCATTGTCTCTGTTTATGAATCGATAATGATAAATTAAAATGACAAAGTGCACGAACCAAGCGTAACAAAACAATATATTGTGCTATAATAAAATTATTATTCACGAATCGTACATACAATTCTTTTGAATTCTATTATGTTATAATTATATCAAATTTAATAACTTTGATTTACAATTCCGTTTGACATATTGCTTCATTATTTTTTAATATAATAATTAATATTTCTAATACTACATTTAAAAATATTATAATGTAATATTTTATGAGAGAGAGAATAACAGTGATCTTCTATAATATTTATATACTATTCAATCTCTTATTTAATTTTTAGAAATACGTTGTTACAATATTCAAATTGAATGATATACATATAGAAAGATATATTGCTATAGAATTTAGGTAGTTATCACCTCGTAAGAAAAGATTGACTAAAAGAACACGTGGAGTAGAAACTCATTACATCACAACTTCCAGTTTTTCTGGCATATACGTGCGAGAGGCTAAAATTTCTGTACCGTTACAAAGGACAAATATGTACATTGATCTGATAATGAGATCTGGGAAGTTACAGCTGCTGAATAATTACCGTATGCTGAAATTGAACCTAAAAAGATGCGAGCTCTATTCAGTTCAATAAAAAATTTGTCTTTATAAACTGCTCACACTCAAAGCAAAAGAAAAGAAATGCAAATAATAAAATAAATATCTTGTATCACAATATGCGCGCATGTTTGCTATATATATATTTTAAATTTATATAAATGTTTTAAATTATAATATATTTATATTATTACGAGATTGAAGAATAATTTCAGTTGGAATAATAAATTATTTTTATTCAATCGTTTTAATTGTTTAATGTGTAATATATAAAAAATATATAAGAAAATTAATATTCATGAAGAAAAAATTGCAATTTATTTCCACTTTTTCTCGTAAATATATATATAAACACACACACACACATATATTTTTTACGTCACCTTTTACATCTCAAAGTCGAGTTTAAAACTAAAGGGTACTTTAAGATCGTCGTTGAACTGGTGCCAAGAGCCGCATTTATAAATAAATTAACATTGACTTAAAGCAGAGCTATCTTTAAGTATAAAAAGAATTTTTTAATTCTGTGCCTGGTTAATATTTTGTAATATAATTGATATAAATCATTTAGGACAGGAGCGTCTTTTTTTATTAATTATTATACCGATCTTTTTCATTACAGATGGCTGCTGGGAAAAGTGTCTGTCTGTTGTTCACCTTCCTTACTTTGACATGCGTCTTTTCTCACCCTTGGACGCCGCAAAATGAAGGTAATTTTTTACAGCCGTTGATATTCTCTATATTATACATTTATTTTTACGTAAAATATTTAGTAACATTTTCTAACTTTTTGCCAAACGAATATTTTTTAATATTTTATTACTCTAAAAAATTATATATTTGAAGAAAATACGGAACAGAATAAGCTTAAAACACTTAATGTGAAAATAAAATGTTATTCATATATTTTATATATCTAAATTCTAAATATATACTCTTCTCAATAAATCTGTGTGTCTCTTAGAATGTTATAAAGAGAAAATATAGTAGATACGCGAGAATGTAGTAATAAAACAAACTTTTGAATTTCTACTTTTACAAATTTTTCTCGCTAATATATATTCTCGTTAATATGCATGCCAGTGCGCGCGGTTCGTGCCGCAAAATGATACGTTAAAGTCAGCAGTCATTACTGACACCAAATTCTACTTTCCGTCCTTCTTCGAGGAAAATGAACCACAAAGACATGTCATATAGAAGGAAGCTTTTCGCCATTTTATTCCGGTCGCGCGTTAGACATACGGACGAGGTGAAATTTGATTTTCTGCTGAGCTGCGCGAATATCGATGTCTCTCGCATGCTGCTTTCGGTTCCTTCCGGCGAGCGCGAGGGGAAGGTCAAGGGTCGCCGGAGAAAAGCAACGTCGGTGTTTCATGATTTAACGAGTCTTTGCGTTTTTTTTTTACGAGTTTCTGACACGGCAAATATTGACACCAAATTCTACTTAAGGTTTCACACCTCGTCTCAGGAAGGTTGTGCGAGAGATACTCCCGCGGATCTGATGCTTGTATCGATAAGACGCACGAAAATTTCAAGATACGTGTTTGAAAACAACAGGCAATTTCGTTTCAAATTTATAGGCATATTTCAAAATTGGACTGATATTTTTTCGATCATAAATATTGTCGATGCATTTACAGAGAATAAACTTCAATACACGATGATTATTTGAATGACGGTGATCGAGATATATATTTAACATAATAAACAAATGGAAAATTAAATTTTGCAATTAAACTTAAATATACACAGAGATATAACAAAACTTTATTTTTCTGTGTTAATTTAAAAGCAAAAAACTTTAATGGATATTAATTTAATTTAATTTAATTTAACATGGAATTTAATTATAGCTCGAGGATATATTTAAAAAGAATTATATTTATTTAAAATATTTAATATCAAAAAATTGTGAAAAAAAATTTGCGATAAACTATAATTTCACAAAATCTTTGCAAAGAATAATTTATTTCAAATCTGTCACAAAATTTACAATACTGTAAGGAATAATAATTTTAGAACATTCTATATAATAAATTGACGACAAATTTGGAAATGTCGTCTGTTGGAACACATCGAATTTTCAACTTCATAAGTCTGAGAAAGTATCGTTTTCTCGACTCGATATTCACGAAATTATTCTTGCAACAGCCGGTGCATACTGAATGTGCGATCGCATTTAAATGCACATTAGCGTATGTACGACAGCTTTGCCCTATATATCAGGAACTCACCTTTCTCCACTTTCGCGCGTTGATTTGTGTCGAGAGAATTTGCGACGCGCATGACATTCGCGGTTTGTGACATTTACAGTTGTATAATAATTTATCATACATGGGATATCGAACTTATACAGGATCCCATGCTATATCGAACTTATACAGGATCTATCTCGAATATCAAACACTTTCTCTATGTGCGATCAAAACTTTATTATGCTCATGTAGAATTGAAATATCTAATATAAAATACAGAATAACGGATCTTCTTAGTCATAAGAACTTTTGAAAAATACTCGTATTATTCTCGCTGCTTTCACCTTATCTGTTTCAAAGCGCATCTCTTGTACTCTGCCAACGCAGATAAATATGCGTACCGTGGGAAATGTTTAGGGAAGCAGAAAGTCCGACACCGCAGGGGGTTAATTATTATTACCAGTTGTCCCCTATGTATATTTTACTCGATGCAGAATTCTAGTAGAATAAATGGGAGACTGGCTGATATCCAACAGGAAATCGCACGTCATCTTTATCGCGATTTTAATACTATAATATACTTTCTATAAAATGTCCATTTTCACGCGAAATTCGATTATTAATCGAGATCAATAAATTATATATATTATATTAATACCTTCTTTTCTCTTCGGAGACAGAGAGAGAGAAACAAGATGCGAGATAATCTACATAATCTGAATAAATCTACATGAAGCAGTCTGAATCTTGGGAGGGCAATGTGATGCTTTCGATTGAAATCAATAATTCACGAAACTCGCTGGGAAGCTTTTCGAGATTGTGCATTTTTAATGAAGCGGTTTCCCGTTTTAAACGGGATTCTATTATACATGAAATCGACAACGAGCGTTTAATGCTCGCCGTTACGTCACGCGACTCGCGATGATTAATTGAGCAGCACGCACTTTATACGCTTTCATAAAGATTGCGCATACTGTCCACAAAGTGGCGCGCCTTACGTGCTGCACAATGAAAATATAATCGTGCTTCCACAAGCGAATCACGTAGTCAACCCATATTTCGCGACATTGTGCACAATCCCGCGGTTAATCTAAATTGCAAATTGTCCACTTTTTCCCCCGTCGCATAGAAAAGAAAGTTGAATAGCCTGTGGTCGTGCGGCAAATGCTGCGAAAAATGAGCAAAGTTCTTTTGCGCAAGAATATATTTTTGCATTTCAAAACCACGACGTGTAAAGACGATAAAAGTCTAACTAACCCTTCAAGTACCTAATCAAAATTCAAATTTATCCATTATATGCATAATGGAAGCATATTGTCATCATATGTATCTTGTTTTAATATTACAAATAGCTAATAAAATAATATTTTAATATATGTGTTATAAAATTATAATTTGATGCGTATTATTTTTATTATTTCTTAATTATTGCGTTAATACTTATTTTATATATGTTTTTCCTTATCTGTCGATGAAAATATTGAAAAGACACCTAGAAAATATCTAAGAAGACGAAAAGTTAGGACGTCTTTGAGACGAATTTACGACGGGTTTTACGTTCTCTGGATATGTGGTATTTAGAAACAGCGAGGGAATGCGGTATACTGATGATGATAAACACGACGTGTAAATTGGTAAGACGCGAGAGTTCGCGCATAAGAAAAATCTGGAACGTCGGCCGTGAAGATCCAGACGAGCATCGCGGACGGATCGCGGAGTAGGTCATTATATATTGGCGGTGTATAAAATGCACGTGTAGCAAAGCCTACATGCTTGCTCGTCTATGCTTTGGTCAGCTAAGCGTAACCGGAAAAGATAAACGCGTACAAGCACAACACACGGACGCGAGAAGCGGACGGTGTATCTCGATATTTTTTCGCCGTATTAACTCAATATCGTTGATGATTCATATTTTCTCTCGCGTGCGACTGTCTACGAGAGGGAAGGATATTATCGTCAGCGATGTTACAAACGAAAAAAATCTAAAAAGACAATTTGTCGAAGCAACGATCTCTCTTCCTTTCTTACTCTTCTCTTAAACAAGTCGACGAGTGTTTACGTGAAATTCTTTTATATCGTTCTTGCTTCGCTTGTCAAGATAGACGGCGTCCGCGTATTTTTGGCTGCCGCACAAAAACGGTTATTTAACTTCTCTCCGCGCTACGGATACATATCGCACTCAATAAATCTTCGATACGATATAGCCTTCGATTTCTCTTTGAGGGTAAGCTGAAATTGGGGCAGCGTTTCGAACGTGAATGCGATGTTCTGCCACAACCCAAATACCAAACGGAGCGATCTTCGGGAGTATCTTTTTCGCGTCATGCAAAACGATGTATACCCGCGGAATGATAATGATTCATTTTATAAAAATTACTCCTTTTTATCGCTCCTTAAGAAATCGTAAAAATTCTCTGATATTATGCACGCGTAATAAATTAATGACCGAGTTTTTATTAGCTGCGTAAGCTTCTTTTCATCTGACACAATGAACTTTTAAATTCCTTTTCAAGCTTTAGAAATGAAAACATTTTGAAATATGTTTTATATAGTTTTCTCGTATACATCTCGATTCTGCTAATACAGCAAAAATAATGTTTAAATAATTAAAAAGTTTAATAATTTAAATTTAAATAATTAAAATATAATATAAATAAAAACATTTCTTTTTAAATGAGAATAGAAGGGAAAATTGTATGTTCTGGGATTGATCTTTCACTCGAATTATTTTTCAGGCAGAAAGCTGTTTGGCGGTTATACAATAGTGCCAAAGGCGTGCCGGCCATCAATGCCGTCGAGTATCAAATCGAGCGGTCCGACGATATGCATGTTCAATTACGAATGCACGCGGCGCAACGGCGAAGTCGTCGGCGCCTGCATGGACGGCTTCCTCTTCGGTGCGTGCTGCCAATTACCGTCGACGAGCTCGACAAGTGTAAACCGCGAGCCGCCCGGCACCGAGGAACTTCTTCATCTGTACCAGCTCGACCATGTACCCGACATACCCATTTTGCTGAATCCAGACGGCACGCCCGTCGGCATGTCTATTCCGCCGAGCGACAAGCCTACAAAGATCAACGAGAGACCGATCAGTGTCTCGAGTTATCCGTATGGCGACGAGACCGTGTACACGAAAATCTCCACTTCGAATCAGGCCTCTTCGTCAACGCTACCGTTGCCCGGCATGGCGAACAACGCCGAAAAGACGCAGCTAGTCGAGCAAGCGGACGTCAGTCACCTGGCCGAGAACTTCCCGGCTCTTCTGGGTCAGCAAGACATCATTGATGACTTGAGACTGCCGGGACTGTTGACACATTCGGATTCCAATAATGATATCCAGGATCATCAGGATCCGTCGGCGGTTAATCCGATCACTACGTTGTTGAATCCGAATCAGATTCTGCAAATAGCGGATCCGGTCGATCAGCTTCCGGCGCTGTTCTCTCAGGGACTAAGTAAGAACAATCACAGCCATCCGGAGACGATATTGTTGAATGAAAATGGCACGATGCTCGAAGAGACGAACAATCCGGATGAAATCTTCCAACCGTCCACCGAAACGTCGATGGATGAAAGGATCACGCAGAGTGAAAGTACGTCAGATATTTGGATCAAGTTTCCGGAGCAGTCTGCTTCTTCCACGGTGGAGTTTACGTCTACGTCGCAGTTTCCAAAATCGACGGTATCCGTGATGCCGAAGACACCTATGGTGACTCAGATGTATACCAACGCGCAGAAATTTACGAACGATATACTTAGCACGCAACTGACCATGGAAAGTGCATTCGAGAAGGTGAACACGATCGAAAAGAAGATGTCTACGAAAGAAGCGACGAGTCCGATGAAGCTCGAAGCTACCACGCCGATGACAGTCTCCAGCATGAAAGAAGAGCTGGTGAAGGTACAGACGATTACATACGACCAACCGTCAGGCAACAAGAAGAAGGACGACGTTCTCGATAAGGAGGAGCTCGCCATCAGTCACATAATCTCCATTCTGAACGACACTACGCCAAAATCGGAGGTATCGGTGACCGTTCCGGCTGCAAATTCCTCGCCGGTTCAGGCCTGGGTGAGCATCGACGAGACTTCGAAGCCTTCTCACGTGAAGGTCAGTTCTTCGAACTATCGACCTACCACACCTGCGCCCACGACATTCTCATACGCTTACTACAAACCCAGCTCTTTTCAACCCTCCAAACTTTCCTCGTCGTACTACAACTACGAGCTCATTCCCACCGAGACTACTTATACGTCACAGCATTCGACCTCCGGTAGCAGTTTCGCCGATGGGCCGACTAACCCTCCGGCACCGACAGTGATAGTTCTCGGCCCACTCGGTACAGAGTTTAGCACGAAAACCACCCAGAAACCTCTTACGTGGAAGCCCTCGGGCACAACAATTAAGCCGATTTCAACCCCGATTAAAACTACGCCTCTCAGACCTACGTTAGTCAATACCAAGAAGCCCGGCGTGTCCACGACCATAACCCATAACATTAACACCGTCATCTCCAACGCCGCCACAAACAACGTAGTATCCACCAGCTACATCAGCGTCAATCTGAAGGACGGCACGAGCGCGTCGCCGATAGTCGATGTCAGCACCGAGGCGATCGTTACAAAACCCGGAAGCACGAAGCAGCGGCCGAGCACGAAGAAGCCTGTGATCTGGACCACCGTGTCCTCGTGGTCGAACAAGCCGGCGTTCAATCTGAAACCATCGACGCCCAGCTTCAGCTGGTCGGACAATCTGACGCCAATCAGTACCCTGATATTCAAGGATACCACGACGACTGTACCATGCGAAGATGAAACCGCGGCGCCGGACGATCTCATCAACTTTCCGCCGGTGCGGAATCCGAATCTCAACATCTCCGCGCCGATCTCGCAGCAGGAGAAACCGACGATCGTCGAGATATATAACAAGACCGGTTATCCGGATATCGAGTTAATTAGCGAAAATGATATCCCGACGCCTACGTTCCTCGAAGACGCCGTGCTGACGGACAAAGTGGACGCCTTCGTCAACAAGCTTGTCGAGTCGCTTCAGGGTAACTTCCAGGTAACGATGAGAGATAACTTGTTTACCTGCAAGAGTTTTACTCGCTTATTGACGAAGTTTCAGATTGCTTCGGGTTTTACGAACGGCAGTTTAACTTTCAACGCTCTGAGCGTTGTTATTTTCTTTATCTCTTTCTATCCCTCGTTTGATAAAAACAATTTACATGAAAGTCTCACTATTTATATATACAGAAATTAGAATATTAAGAATTTATTTATTTTAAAATTTTTTATTTACCTGTTATTCAATTTAATTTAATTATTAAAAATTTAATTAAATATTGAATTTAATATTACGTTTTTTAATTATATAATTTGTTTTTCTTTGTAAATTCCTGTTCTATGGAATGTTTACTTTATGCATTTTATCTTTGAATATTGAACTCTTAATATTGTGTGTATTTATGTTCTTTCAATAATTGTTTATTTACATGTATAGTTATATAATAAAAATATGTGATACAAGATATTGTATCATATTTTAGATATGGATAACATCAAAAGCAACGCAAAAATAATATAAATAGATATTTGATTTCCAACAACATAGAGATATATCAGAGTTTTTGTGAAATTTTTTTCCCCATTGTTTTTTAGAGCCTGAAAGAAGTGGTCTACAATGGAAATGGCACAACGGCAGCCACGGTAGCACCTTCTAACGCAACAAAAAGACCGATTAATGGAAGCATTACGACAAGGAGACCGACGCGAAAACCCACGACCAGACCGTCGTCCTTATCGACAACGGCGGGGCCGACAAAGAGGCCAGCGGCGACCACGAAGAGGCCCACTCGTACCACCCAGAAACCGTCGTCGTCTGAGAAACCATCACGTCCTACCAAAGCGACTACCCCAAGGCCCAAACCAGCTACTTCGCAGAACATTACGACCAAGAGACCTCAGGTAACAACGAAGCGCCCGAAACCGACTAGAAAAGTCACGACTGTGCCGCCCAGCAGCACGGAAACAATTTTGTCCGAAGAACAGAGTTCGACCCTGTCGACTACGAGTGAGTCGAGCAACGACGCGGAAACGAATCAGCCAGAATTTCGGACTCGTAAGTGAGCACACAGTCAACAAGTTCCAAAGTTTCTGTAAATATTCCTACGATCAAAAAATCCGAATCGCTATTATTTTCTTTACTAGATAAATAAATAATAAATAAATAAATAAATCTTACAATTCTGTGATTTGAAAATTCTTTGTCGTATTAACAGGATGTGGTGTGAGACCTCTGGTCTCAAGAGCGGGAAAGATAGTCGGCGGAAAGGGCGCGCAATTTGGGGAATGGCCGTGGCAGGTCTTGGTTCGCGAGGCGACCTGGCTCGGTCTATTCACGAAAAACAAGTGCGGAGGTGTGCTTATCACTGATAAATATGTAATCACAGCAGCTCATTGCCAACCAGGGTAAGTCGTACAAGACTTACTGAAAATTGGGGAAACAAGACAAATATAATTCATTCATATTTATTTATAAATATGTCGGATTAATTTTTTGTAGGATTATAATTTTTATCTCTTATTATATATATTATTTGTCTCTGTATAAAATGATTAAATAAGCACCAAAAACAAAAGGGGTATTAAATTAAAATAGTCTCTCACAGGATAATTTACATAAATGAGCTAATGTCGAATGAAAAAATAAAATTATATCTTGCTGTATTGCAGTTTCCTGGCTTCCCTGGTCGCGGTTTTCGGCGAGTTTGACATTTCGGGCGAGTTGGAGTCGAAACGCAGCATAACGAAGAACGTTCGTCGCGTCATCGTGAATCGCGGTTACGATCCGGCGACATTCGAGAATGACCTGGCGCTTCTCGAGCTGGAGTCACCGGTGCAGTTCGACGATCACATCGTGCCGATTTGCATGCCCGAGAACGGCATCGACTTTACCGGACGGATGGCGACGGTCACGGGCTGGGGGCGGCTTAAATACAGTGAGTATCGATTTCGGTTCGCCCGATTTACAAATTGCAAGCCCTAACGCGCACGTGCGTATATGCATGCGAGTCACGCGGCAAATTTCCCGCAAGACTAGAAAGTACAAAATGGAACAGGTTACCGTGACGAGAGCGGAGTAAAACAACTTTCACGATGACTCTCGCGTGGCCTCCTACGCGCCCGAATTCTGCTCGCAATTCTGTTACAATTTTCCTTCTCAATTCGCCGTCAAGACCCTACTAACGGTATCGGTTACGTTCGACAGATGGTGGAGTCCCGTCGGTGCTACAAGAAGTCCAGGTGCCCATAATGGAGAACGCGGTTTGTCAAGAGATGTTCCAGACAGGCGGACACTCGAAATTGATTTTGGAAAGTTTTCTCTGCGCCGGATACGCGAACGGTCAAAAGGATTCCTGTGAGGTAATTTTACGACGGGATTTATCTCGCTTCCCATATATATTCTCTCTTGTATTCTATTAACTTTATTAACACCGTTCTAACTATTAGCGGCATCCCTTTGATCTCACGGCAAATAATATAATTACTGTGTCGATTGTATTTGTAGTTCGCATATCAGTGTTTTCATTTATGATCTATCGTTTATTTGATTATGTAGATTTTATTACTCGTTTTATAGAAAGAAAGATGTCAAACACGTTTTAATTATCAGATTCTTTATCAGCGTTACTTTTTTTAGGTCATCCTAGATAACATGTTTACTCTATCAGTTATGAAAATTCCATGTCACAATATTCTTACTTAATTATTTCAAATTTCAAATTTTTTTTTATTTTTATTATTATTTTATTCTAGATTAATTCTAATTCCTTCAGCTTGCTATCAAGCTTCCATCCTGTAATATTAGTGCCAAAAAATAAGTTATAAATAAACAATTTAGAGAGCGGTTAATGATTTTGCTCAGGGTGACAGCGGCGGCCCGCTGGTGATGGAACGACAGGACGGCAGATGGTTTCTGGTTGGGACCGTTTCTCACGGTATAAAATGCGCGTCTCCATATCTACCGGGTGTGTACATGAGGACGACCTACTTCAAGCCCTGGCTGCACAGCATTACCGGAGTCTGAGGAAACTCGGCAATTATTATCACGTCCTCGTGTGATTACGTGTGTAAGCGGCACCCGATGCCATTCTGTATAAATGTACAAAGGAAGTCTAATTTATTTCCCTTCGGGATAGAGCATACGAAGCTCAATTAAATAATACACTCGCGAAAATAACCGGACTTGAAATATCGGAGTGCTATCTCGATATCTACATAATGATAAGACGCGCTCTCCTACGCATTTATTTTATATTTTCCATTAGAGCGCAACGGAAATAATATTTATATAAGCATCGTTTTACGTCGAGCAAGATTCATTGTGGAAGCAGTACGAGAAAGGAAAAGAGAGAGAGAGAGAGAGAGGGAGAGGCAAGCAGACCACAACCCTCGAGTTATTTAAATTTCGAAATAGCATTCTGTGCAAAACTGTCCGCAGCAAGACACTGTTTCTGCAGTGTAGGTTGCATTTATGCATATCAATGTTTAAATTCGTCCTTATGTGTACACACAGAGTATTTGCAGAGTCGGCTCTGAAGCACATTTAAAATATCCTTCGGCAATCCTGAACCGTTATTTCCATCGGAACGATAACATTGTATATTTATTTGATATTCCTTCTACGATCGAAGAAACGGATACAAATAATTCATGATTCGCGTCAATCCTCTATATAGCGTACCTCCTTTTGCCAATTAATTCAGAGGTGACTTTTTCTTAACAGAAATATTTAGGCCAAAATTAAATTTATTTTTAATTTAGATTAAATTAGATTTAAATTAGATTTAAATTTAACTCGTTAAAAGAATCCTTAATATTTTCGATAATAATTCCTGATTTAGATATTATTTAATCTTGAATGCACAGCAGTTTCATTAAGTAAAAATCGATTTCATAATAAATTGATTTCACAGTAAACCGAATTGGCACCGATAAAAAATCTCATCACCACGCATGCAAATTTTAAACTATCTTGCATGTATCATTGCACGAATATATTTTAATATATCTCATATATTTTTCTTTATATTTTACATCTCTGTCTCTGTCGGAGGAGCGTATTGTTTGTTCCATGAATATTCGCGTCGGCCGGCTCTGCGATACATAAGTACATAAAGACGAGCTCAATGCCTTATTTATTTCCTTGTTAGATGTTATTTATTAAATACATTTTTATACTATAACAATATGTGTGGCTATTTTATTCATTACCAACACTCCGTATATAAAAGATATGGTCGAGGATATTTTGATATCACGGTGCCATACATATCGAGGGAGATGATCCTTTCGTTAAAAATAGCGGCAAATATTTTCCAAATCGATCGAACTTTTAATATCCTGATTATCATTATATATGAACAACGTCATCGCGGTGATAATATCACTTCTGGTAATAACGTCATTTCCGGTGTTTCCCATAATTTTTCTTATCGCTTGTAATTTGACAAAGGTTTATAGCGTCGATTAAAATTTTAAAACTGTAGCACGTATCTGTTTTATGTCCATTTTATACAACAAAAATCGAAAATTCAGAATTAAAATATCGTCAGCGATTTTACATTATTTTAATCCTGTGCTTATATGATAAATGGGCGGATTATAATATAGCGTGATAACATGATAAAACGAAATATATCATACGGCTTGTTAAAATCTTTGAATGTAAATCCTGTTAAATATATTCATAAAGTATCTACTCAAGTTCCTTCCAGAAGAGAAGAAAGTTTCTATATTGCATTACAACTGTTATTAATGTTCCTCGTAAACTTTGCGAGATAAGAAATTATGAAATCACGCACATCACTTGTAAAAGGTAAAATGCATTTGTTGATTGTGCATCGTTGCATTCTTAAAAGATCATATAATATACATAATTTAAATACCGATCGAGTGAGATCGCAAATTTATAAAACCGAGTCAAGAAGAAATAAATTGATTCTTCGCATATAAAATTTAAAACAACAAATTTCTCGAGGAATTATTGTTAAAAAATTATTTAATATATAAAAGTAAAAAATTCAAATGAAAAATAAAATTGTTTAATATCCGATCAGTTGGATTATTCTTTTAGGCGAAAATTCAATTCTTTATAAGTATCCACGTGTCAACGACTACAACGCTGTATTCCAGTGGAAAAAGACTGGCTTAAGTCAGACAAGCCATTAAATGGCGCGTCGAAATCGAATCCAAGGGAAAACAAATTTCATGTAAATTAATAGAGATCACGCCAGACCTATTGCGTCGTAATACAATGCTTATTCCGTCACAATGGACGAAGTTTCTCGGAAGTTAGCGCGTGCGACACGCAAGGCCGAAGTAACGTTTACGAAGCAGCATGCCGCGAAACGTTGGAGCGGAAACAAGCGTAGCGATTTAATGGCGCGTGCATACACGTGTATGACGCGACCCGAGGATGCACGTATACGCTTCGCGTACTTACCTGCGTACTCTGGCATTTCGTTGCACAGGTGGTTGCGTCGTAGACGGACGGTAAATGCAATTTGCGACGTGCCGCAGCGGAAATCTACGTGCGCGTGTCTGGCGACTAGTTCTCCTCCTCCGCGAAAATATCCGCTGAATGCCCTTTTCTGAAAAAAGGAATAATAATGTCATAATTAGATTTCAAGGTTAATTATCAGTTGAAAAACAATATTATAGTTAAGATTTTAAAAGTTTCTCGAGGCAGGGTAATATGTAAAATAAATATCGGTAAAAGACGATCAAGTCTATCAAATTGGTCCATCAATCTATAAATGAAAAAAAATACACGAGAAATAAAGCATACTTTATATCGAAATAAATATAGTTTAATAAAAATTCACACTCTTTATATAATTATTTTATATATTATTGAATGCAATATGTAAATTTAAAAAAATACATATTGTATACAGAAAAATATTATATAATTTTTAATTATCATAATTAGACTTTTTAATTATTTCTCTGTGTTTAGAGACAGCATAAATTAAGATTATTGTTGCAAGTTTATAAAAAACTAATATAATAAAAAAATAAGAAATTATATCAAGTATTTTTAAATATAAACTTTCCTTATATATGTTTTTCTCTCAATATAAGAAAAAAATTATATTACTATTTTAATCAAAAACTTAAATAAACTTGAAAATTATTTCAGATTTCAAAGCTCATTCGAAGAAAAAATCTCGAACCACCTACAACCTCAAAACATTTCTCATGAAAAATTCAAATCTCTTTATCAATAAACTACCGGCTCAGGCTGGAAAGAACTGAATAACGGCAGGCAGCGCATCGCGGTCGTTTTTGCTTCGTCACTATTCAGTATGTGTGAGAAAGTGCGCGGGGGTTCGCGAGCGAGTATATGGAGCAGAAGCGAGCCGCCCGGCGGGCACATCAGGATACCTTGGATCAATACGGCCAAGAGAGAACGAAACTACGCCGGTGGCGGAAAGAGCACGAGCTGAAGCGAGCAAAGATAAGCCCGCTGAACGATGAGAACTTCAGGTCCTGAGACACAAAAGTACAACATTCTCTCGCGCTCATCGAGGAACGCATCCTAAGATAAATATCATGACGAGCTTGAACAAAATCCCGCGACATACAAAATACTTTCTTCAAAAAAAAAAGAGTTTGCAAGAAACGAATTTACCACTATTATCTTTGACCTTTCGCAGATCCGAATGCTCGTTCCTTTGCGAATGTTACAGAACATCGCGTTTCCTAAATGTATTTACCGGTAAAAGAGTATCCCGGAGAATATAATAAAGATGATTCCATATACTATACAATTTTTCCATATACTATAGGTTAAAAAAATTGTGTTTATTCCACGTGACTTTTTGACATAACTTAAAGCTTTGAATGTTTTCTTGTAAAATCAACAAAAAAGTACTATATTAGAGAAAAATAATTGAAATTTGTTTCTTTTTTGCATTAAATATCTATATAAATTTTATTTATGATAAAGAAGCAGACACAACGCGACTCATTATTATCTCATTCAATCATAGCATTGTCAGCGCTACGTACATCATTTATCAAAATACAAGTGGTTGGGATTGATCCATTCGAGTAGCTCCTTCGGCCTTTTATCTCGAGCCGCTCGATAGATAGGAAGCTGAAGATCTGAATGAACAAAATGTCACGTAGGTCGTGATCGGGTGGCGCGAAAAAAAAAAGAGGAAGAAGACGGGCCGGCGGAGGGTTGCGCATGCGCCACCGGGTATATGCGCCCGTCTGACGGCAACCGGAACGACGTAGAAGTATAGATTGCCGAAGCGAGCGCGACACGGACTCAGTCCTCCAGTACACTCCATCGAAGACTTGTTGATCCTGTGCGGAACCTATCTATCGAGTGCTGGCCGATCCTGCCCGGCTGAGGTGCAAGGCGTTCCAGACGAGCTGAGGGTGCAAGAACGTGTTGTAAGTAAATTATAATTGGCTTAAATTTAATAATAGAAAAAATGCTTTAAACGTTTAGAATGTCATGATACTGTTAAACGTTGTGTGTTTCGCCATAGTGCTCTCTATACGTTACGCTCCTCAAAACTTGTCCTTGACGTTAAAATGTCCTCAACTCATCTTTCATGAATAAAGCATACACAGTTATCATAATATTAAGATATAACAAAAAATAGAGTATAATATAGAATAAAAAATAGGGTTCAATTAATTGTCTTATAGAGTCAAAGTTAAAATAGAATTTAAAAATATTTCTATTTCTATACAATTTAATTAGTTTGACACAAAAGATGATTTAGTCCATTTGAAAACCTGAATATTTGAATTAAGTTAAGTAAAATTTATATTAAATTCATTGATTACTGTTTTATCTACAACCCGATTAAATAGCATGTATAAATGCTATGAAAAAATTTCATTTGCAGATGAAAAAGAAACAAGATCGAAGAAAGAAGAATAATCGATCGTATATACAAAGTTATTGCTAGGATTGATCCAACATGACTCATATCTTACACGAAGCTATCATAAATTGTAATTTGTCCTTGACCAGAATATGAAAAAAACTTGTTATATTTTTCAATCTTTTACAAGCAATTTAATATCGGAGCATTTAATTTCCTGTTCTATGATAAAACGTATAAAACAATTATGCATATATATTTACTAAATAATGTTATATTATGATTATCATTTTGAATATTGAACAAGTGCAATCGATTGTTCTCGTATTCAAATATTAATTACTTAATTAACATTGTAGCGTAGAATAACACGCAACATCTGAGCCACGATATCCTATCAACAGTAAATCGAAAATTTAAATAATAATGACATCGATGAATTGTATAAAGAGTGCTCTTATCGCTTTTATGTTATAAAACCACGTATTAGCAATCGCGAAAAGATAGCGTTGCATCATCGACATCTGATATGATAAACCAACGTAAAAAGGGGTTCGATGTTAACGGCTAGCCGCGTCTTACGGATCACTGCTTACAGCAAAAACAGTCAGGGATAAACAAAAATAAAATATGTTCATAAGAAGTACGAAAAAGAGATGACCGTGCAAAATTGGTTGCAATTCAAACGGATTAACGAATCTGTTTTTTCGCCCGATTTCGGATATTCTGTTCTTAAAATAATTTCAAAAGTATTTAATCTAAAAGTTATACTACACATTTTATTCTAAAGAAATATAATTATTATATAATTATATTATATAATTAAAATTTTTAATCGCTGGACTGATCATTGCATTGCAAATGCAATCATGTAGAATCTTCTAGACAAATCTAATTTTAGATTGCTATGCTACTGCTATCATATTTTCAAACAAGCAAAAAAAAATTAGATAATAAAAAGATAAGATTCTTTCTTATACAAAATTAAGAAATAAACTCCAAATAAGATTTGTTACGCTAAAATAAATATTACATGTTTAGAAGTTATAACATAAGAAATTTCAAACAAAAAGAGAGATTTACTCCTCATTTTAGAATAATTATATTTTCAAGTATAATGAAATATCTGCATAATAATGGATAATGAATTAAGATTCACTTTTTAATAACGTTTAATTATACTGCAAATCCTTAATATATTCAGTTCAAACATTTAACGTAATGAACATTCTTTCTCCCTCGAATGATTACAGAGTGCCCGAAGATTAATATATCTCCAACAATATGAAGGTATGTGCGGCGATAACGCTAGTGCTTGTAGCAAACACGGCATACATCGGTGTCGAGGCATGGGGTGGTCTCTTTAACCGCTTTAGTCCTGAGATGCTCTCTAACCTCGGCTACGGCGGTCACGGGGGCTACCTAAATCGTCCTGGGCTATTACAGGTATCTAGAAATACATATCTTTCTTGTAAGAAATTACCCCGCGCGATTTTTCTGTATTTCATCTTAAAAACATTTAAAATGTGTTCCGTAAAATCTTTCGAATTAATCTTTTAAACGTTTTTTAAATCTATTTTTTTTATTAAAACCGGCAAAATCTAAAAGAAAATCTGAAAGGTTTTCTAGATTTTTATTTTCAACGTTTAAAATATGTTTAAAAAATATTTAAAAAATTAGATGAATTTTTTGGACTTCTCTTTATAACGTTTAAACATCAAAGGTAAAAGTCCAGATTTCCGGATCGGTAAAAAAAATGATATAAAAAGAAAGACACTATCGGAATAATGGCAAAAAGAGCCAAGTGTGGTTTTTGAGGGCGCAAATGTTTACTTTAAAATATAATTACAAAATTTAAAAAAAAATAAAAAAACAGTAGATTTTTAAATTTTCTTCTTTGTTTAAACTATACAAATTTTAAAGAATCTTTAGATATATTTTAAACGTTATATTTTAACGTTGGAAATATAAAATCTAGAACTTTAGACTCCCTTTTGATTTTTTTAGACGTCAATTATACATCCTATCATTTGATTTAAATAGTAACACGCAGTATGGGTCACGTACAATCGATTTTTCATTTTCTATCCGCGTGCACTTGCACTTGCATAAACTTGCAAGAAGAACTCTCCTGTGGCCCCGTTTATTTCCCATTTTTCTTCATCTGTGAATTAACTTCAAGATTGCGATCCGGAGATTGAATGGAATTACCTTCGCAGCGCGATACGTGCGAAATTACTGCTACTGTAAAAACTTTTACTGCGTTTCAACTACGTGATAAATAAATAAAACTATAACCGTTCCTCGGTTATATTCGAGAGCTCCAGAATATCCGTACATATCGCTCGATTTATATCTTTACTTATTTACATAAGATAATCTTCTTCGTCGCATAATTAGCAAGCCCGTGCTAACGAGATTCTTCTTATTAATAAACGCAAAATTATTATATTAAAATCGATTTATAATTATTTTGCTAGCAATGTGTAATTATTTGAACAATGTGCAAAGTATAATCAAACAAGTTTATGTAAATAAATCCGTGAACTAGTCGAGTATTTATCATTTAAATCATATTTGACTTTTCTGTGGAAGAGAAACGCATCACATAATAAACATCGATTACATGAAATTATACAAATATGAGTGAGTAATACGATAGTAATACGACCTCGAAATTGATGATTAAGTAAACAAGAATCAGCGAAAAAAAAAAGCTACTCGCAGATTACGTTGCAACACTTGGATCTTGCATACAAAATTCTTAACTACATATCCGTGTTTAATATTATTCAATTATTATTATTAATTTTAATTTATAGAGTTCTCGATAAATATCGAATCAAGTTTCTCTTTTCTACCTGAATTTTTAGGATATCTTACATTTAATAAACATTAATATAAAATGAAATAAATTTTTTTTACCATCTCTTTTTCAATCTTTAATAAATAATATAGTATATGTATTATAAATCAATAATAAAGAATAATAAAATATTTTATAGAAAATGCGATTTTAATATTTAGTCTTGAATATTTGCAATTCTAAATAATAAATTTAAAAAATCATAAAAAAAGATATATTTTAAATAAAGCAATCACTTTCCTTCTTCTCAGGAAGGATATAGCGGCATATATGGAGAGGGAATCGAACCTACGGAAGAACCTTGCTATGACAGGAAATGCGTGTATAATGATCACTGTTGTTCAGGTTCCATTTGCGTGAATTTCGATGGAGGTAAATAAAGACAACTCTAATAAAAATTTCTAATAATTCGTTACAAATTAATTAGATTTTCTAGAATATAATTAAAAATAATAAAGACATTATTTCTCATACGATCTCCCATATTATCGATAAAAATAATCATGAGCATGATATTCCAGTTACTGGAACATGTGTCTACGATTTTGGTATGAAACAAGGCGAGCTCTGCAGACGGGATAGCGATTGCGAAACCGGCTTAATGTGCGCCGAAATATCTGGACGAGAAACGAAATCGTGTCAACCACCGACCACTTCGAACAAATTATACAGTGCGTTCACAAGCATATTTTATATTTGCAAAATATAAAAAAAAATATAATGCTGCGTAAGATTATAAATAAATTTCATCAATAAATAATGTATTTGTTACAGATGAGGAGTGCGTTATGTCAAGCGAGTGCGATATCAGTCGTGGACTATGCTGTCAATTACAAAGACGACACCGGCAAACTCCTAGGAAGGTAATGGAATATATCTATTGTTTGAATTGTAAAACATGATTGCATATATCTTTAAAAAATTTATCCAAAAAATTTACTCTTTTCTATAGACTATTAGCGGAGCTTTTCAAAAATCGTTGTCTATTAAAAAAAAATATATAGTTTTTATTTTTACGTAGTCATCCTCGATTTTCTCTGTGTATGTATGTAAGATAAAATATAAATATCTTATTACATTGATTCATTAAAGCCTACTAAAAATAAAATTTTTCTTAATACCACTTTTTCAAATAATCTCTCTTAATAATCAAAAAATATTTCGACAGGTTTGCTCGTACTTCAAGGATCCTCTAGTCTGTATCGGTCCGGTAGCGACAGATCAAATAAAGTCCGCGATCCAGTACACCTCTGGAGAGAAACGAATCACTGGACAGGGCAACCGTCTGTTCAAGCGGATGCCGTTCGCCTAAACGTTCGTCGTACTTGGCAATACGTGACGGAGGTGACGTATACAATATAAGATAAGTTACAAAAAAAAATCAAATCCTCCTTTAGTCGTTGTGAGATGATACCTAGATCTAAGTTTGTCGACTCGACATTATCTCGATCTCCTTCCTATAGTCCCGACTTTCCTCCACGCCAACGATACATTGGGAAGTATGACAGTAGCGTAAGAAAATCATGCGGCAAAAATAAAAAAACTAAATGTTACTCGGGGAGGTGTTACTTTGGGATTGTTTCTTTTTCGAGTATATAGCGCGACTGAAAACACCTATAACACATATCATATTAACCCGTCTCGTAGGTCTCTCTAAGAATAAGAGACACGCTAGCATAGTTGTGTTAAGAAAGAACGCGCTGATGAATAAGAGCGCCGTACGACAAAGATGTTTCTTAATGATTAGAGGTAAAGTATATACGGGACGTTCGAGAGAAGTTCCATTAGACGATTTATCTACCGGTCTACCGGTTGAGCTTTCCTTTTGGATTGTAGTAAGAGATTAGTGAATCACTTAATTGTCCGTGATATAAATCATATATGGTTATAGAGATAAGAATATAATAAATGAGAATAAAGAGAGAGGCGTGCACAAACGAAGAAGTGAAGAGTTTTCATTATCGTCGCGGTATCAACATTGATTATTTTATTCTGTTAATCAACGATATTCTTATTACGCTCTAATCTACAGAATGTGTGTTGATCGAAGTCTATGTTTCGAAAATTCCGAAATAAAATGATATATGTGTCTTCAACGACTGCTGATACAACGATGTTGTTGCATCGCAAATGAGGTTTTTCTCAACGAGAAATTTCAATATCGATACCGCAAACGATAGTGTTATTCGAGTTACACGATGCATCGGATCTATACCTTTTAGCTGCATTTTTATACACGTTCGTTGCATGATACGTGTCGCAAAGTTAGAATTTATTTTAGAATATATTTCAAAAATAAATGACATATTAACACAGAAATAATTTTCTCTATGTAAATTTTGTATACACATTCTATATGACTTTAATATAGTTCCTTTATATAACAAAAAAAAAAAACAACTTTCCATGCGCTTCTACATTAACGTATATTATATTAAAATGACAAAATAAATATGTAAAAAATATCGTGAACTCCAAAATTAATTCTAAATCTTGAAACGTCTTGTGAACTTGTTTTGTGAAAATTCTTTGAACATCTGTGTCATTTCATGTGTAAAATATTATCACAATAAATTGTCACAAATATTTGACAGAATAACAAGATGGATAAAATGCAGCTAAAAGAAATAGAAATATCGTCAATGCATTGCAAGTCGTGACTTATATTTTTAGTTGGAGATCGAGAGATCCCAACGAGTCCGCGGATGCCAGCCAGTCTTGCAGGATGTAACAAGAGAAACACAATAGCGGATTTAAGGTCCAAATAAAAACAAATGTACACAATTGGAAATAACATATCTCTAAGGAAATAATATTTTCAATTTTGAAAACATATAGCAATCGTATTGCTAAAAAATGAACATTCCAAATATATAAAACACAGTTATAAATTAGCAGAACAATTTGAGAATCCGTGAAGCCAGTTGAATCTTTTTAACAGATCCTAAGAAATCTCGTTATTTATAAATCCGCTATTGGACGGCCTGCTAATTATTCAAACGCACAGATCGAGAAGTATTTGTTCTCTTTTTTTTTCATTTTACAAACGATCGTCTAGCGAACGAAACGCGAAGTGTCGTTCGGACAGTCTCAATGGCGGAGAAGTATTTTCTACAGGGGGAAGAGCTGAAAAAGGCGCAAAATATCTTGTAATTCGGTCGATGTTTCAAGTTTACCCTTAAAAATCGTATTTAGACGTTTACTCGACTATATCGGACACATTTATCCTTATTCTCCTCTCCAAAAAGAACTTCACACACACACACATACTCTGTCGGTATGTATATGTATTCGTAATGTAAATCGTATCGTGGAGTTGCAAAACGAGACATTTTAAAATGTAGGAGGATTACACTGTAAAAGATACATATCAAAGAGGGAGAAGTTTTGCTTCGCTAGCTTATATTCAGAGATATATAGTGTTAGATATATAAATATATATATGATAAAACAAAGAAAGAAAGACGTTAACTCTTAGTAAAAACAATATAAGTGTGCATATATTGTTCGTTTAAAAAAAGAAAATCCCGAATGAATATTTAAAGAAGAGAAACTATTAAAAAGAAGATCGCGGAAATCGCTCTGTTCAGTATTAATCGCGGAAATCGCTCTATCGCGTAATAATCTCGTGGAAATCGCTCTACTAGCTGTACTAATATTAATGAAATCGTAATACATGAATGAAATACACAATATATATAGTCTGTGGCTATGTGAAATATTATTCGGTGGAAATTTGTTATAATATTAATCGTTATAACATCGTTTGAAAAAGCGCAATGTTAAATAATAATCGTTTGAAAGATCGATTGCACGACGTTTTAAGCATAATCGTGGGAGACGCAGTGTTAAGCGTTCTTTGAAATCACGTTCGCATACAACAACAACAACAACAATAGCAAATAACAACAACAATGCTCTAATTCCAGTATGCGTAGAGTACCTGTCATCTCTGTCTTATTATTGAGAAGGAAAAACTCTCAGCAAATCCTCGCTTTTTACGCGACTGGTGGTGCTATGTGATCGTTATATTTTTAGTTGGAGATCGAGAGATCCCAACGAGTCCGCGGATGCCAGCCAGTCTTGCAGGATGTAACAAGAGAAACACAATAGCGGATTTAAGGTCCAAATAAAAACAAATGTACACAATTGGAAATAACATATCTCTAAGGAAATAATATTTTCAATTTTGAAAACATATAGCAATCGTATTGCTAAAAAATGAACATTCCAAATATATAAAACACAGTTATAAATTAGCAGAACAATTTGAGAATCCGTGAAGCCAGTTGAATCTTTTTAACAGATCCTAAGAAATCTCGTTATTTATAAATCCGCTATTGGACGGCCTGCTAATTATTCAAACGCACAGATCGAGAAGTATTTGTTCTCTTTTTTTTTCATTTTACAAACGATCGTCTAGCGAACGAAACGCGAAGTGTCGTTCGGACAGTCTCAATGGCGGAGAAGTATTTTCTACAGGGGGAAGAGCTGAAAAAGGCGCAAAATATCTTGTAATTCGGTCGATGTTTCAAGTTTACCCTTAAAAATCGTATTTAGACGTTTACTCGACTATATCGGACACATTTATCCTTATTCTCCTCTCCAAAAAGAACTTCACACACACACACATACTCTGTCGGTATGTATATGTATTCGTAATGTAAATCGTATCGTGGAGTTGCAAAACGAGACATTTTAAAATGTAGGAGGATTACACTGTAAAAGATACATATCAAAGAGGGAGAAGTTTTGCTTCGCTAGCTTATATTCAGAGATATATAGTGTTAGATATATAAATATATATATGATAAAACAAAGAAAGAAAGACGTTAACTCTTAGTAAAAACAATATAAGTGTGCATATATTGTTCGTTTAAAAAAAGAAAATCCCGAATGAATATTTAAAGAAGAGAAACTATTAAAAAGAAGATCGCGGAAATCGCTCTGTTCAGTATTAATCGCGGAAATCGCTCTATCGCGTAATAATCTCGTGGAAATCGCTCTACTAGCTGTACTAATATTAATGAAATCGTAATACATGAATGAAATACACAATATATATAGTCTGTGGCTATGTGAAATATTATTCGGTGGAAATTTGTTATAATATTAATCGTTATAACATCGTTTGAAAAAGCGCAATGTTAAATAATAATCGTTTGAAAGATCGATTGCACGACGTTTTAAGCATAATCGTGGGAGACGCAGTGTTAAGCGTTCTTTGAAATCATGTTCGCATACAACAACAACAACAATAGCAAATAACAACAACAATGCTCTAATTCCAGTATGCGTAGAGTACCTGTCATCTCTGTCTTATTATTGAGAAGGAAAAACTCTCAGCAAATCCTCGCTTTTTACGCGACTGGTGGTGCTATGTGATCGTCAAGAGAGTCCCTTAAAGAGAATCTCTGATTGATATTATCAATCAATTATCTACTAGAGTTCTCGAGTACTTCCCAAAACGTTAATCTACCTGTGTAAGGAAACTCAAAACATATCATGCGAAATGCCTAATGCATTTAAGAGAGTTCTAAATATGAATGTTAACTACGAGATATAAATATATATATATTACCTTATTGAAATTATATTTTTATCTTTGATCCATATGTATATCTAAGCTCTATATATTTACACAATATTCGTATATTTTCTCGAGGCGTATATATATATCTATAAAATAACATATATACACAAACACACACATATACACACACATATCCGTTCTGTTATATCGTATATAATGTTCGAATAAATTCGCGCGCTTGATAATAATCTTTTATCGATTTTTCAAGCGCGATTCTTTTCTTCTGAAATTTTTGTTCTGAAATTATGAATGTAAAATTATTTGCAACTATGAATCGATGGTCGATTATGTTGTAATCAATTTTAATTATTATTTATATGTGTGCATATATATATATATATATATATATATATATATATCGATCTGCAACTATGTAGGCGCCTACGTACATGAGAGACCTATATATATATATATATACGTTTGTATTATATTGTATCTTCTCTTTAGACGTAAAACAATATATCCCAATTGTCTGAAAATATTTTATATATATATTGGTTTATATTATTCCGTAAATATGTGTGTGTGTGTATGTGCTTGATATTATATAACTTTATATATACATTTTATCGAAAATCTCTGTTTCTGCTGTGAGAATATCTCTTTTCTCTTAGTCGGGCTAAGGAAACGGTTGAAATGTTATGAACTGCACACAAAAAATACATATCATAGCCTGTAAGACTCTTTGCCTTGTAAGAAAGTTCGAACGCATGTTCGCAAAACACGGAACATGATGTGGTAACGAATAGATACATACATATGTACGAGCTATCACAGGTTTTAAGGGAAATTTGGCCACTTGGCCTTGAGTCGAAAGTACCTCTGTCGTAAGAATTAATCCCAGCGTAAAACTTTATGTGTATGACGTATATGTAAATGTATCGTTCAAAATTACAATATTTAAAAAAAGAGTTCTAATAGCTAAATGTGAAATACATGATGGTGCATATGAAATAAACTGAATATATTTCTCTGTCACTCCTTCTGGCTATCAAGTGTTTTCTCCTCGAATATGCGTTCATATATGATCGATATTCTCTCGCGAGTTTATATTATTCCAGTCCACAAAATTTGCAATATTTTTTCTTTAAAATATATATTTTCGTACTTACCATCTTGTTGTTTTTTTGTGACGCTCCGATAGACAACCGATCAGATAAGAAATTCTGTAAAAAGAAAAGAGAATCAATAAAAATTAAACTAATATTTAAATCATACAAATATATAAAAACATTGTTCGATTTTGAGAATGTCAATTATATCTTCCATATTTTCATTTTTTGTTTGCTTTTCGTAAAAATTAAAATAATCTGATAGAAATCAAAAGGAGTAAAAAAGAATTTAACGGTTGTGACGCTGCCTTTGGTTTGATCGAATCCATAATCTCATAAAACGCAATTCTTTCTATGTCAATAATACTTTTAGACGCATCTCTACTTTTTATAGCGATTCGTGAATACGTAAAATACCTTTTAGATGTAATATGCTCGTTGCCTCTTCAAAATTATAACAAAAAAGTAAAATGTTGAAACTGCAAAGTACGGAGCACGTCTTCACCGAACCGTGATCTGAAGATGACTGCAAATTCAAACACTAACGTTCTTCC